TCTAAGGTACAAAATACAAAAGATTGGGAGACTATGGATCCTGGTTTCCACCTCTGAAAAAAATAAAAACAAAAATAAAACAAATAAACTGCAATCCATAAGTAAAATTTATTATCTCAAAATTTCAACATACTAACTGAAACATCTTGGGAAATATAGAAAATAAGGAATAGAACGTGGAATTTGCTCATTAAATACTTTTTTTTTCAGTGGCAGAAACAAGCTGCCAAGGAGACAGAAGTATATGCTGTGAAGATGGACTGGGTGGGTTCTATTTTTGCACCTAGAGAAACTTTATAACTAATTTTGTAAATAAAATTATATATCAGTCTTTATCGCCGGGAGAAGGAAAAGGAGTTTACTGAGCAGGCCAGGTCAAATTAAACATGTTTCACAACTTGTCTTGGCTTCATTTTACCATAGCTTACTTTACAGTTAATTTGTATCATAGAAAACCAAACTGGGGAAAAAAACTAGCTAAAAACATGCAGGGTATAAAGCATGCCACGTCGAGAGATTCACTTTAGGGTTGGACCATTAACTGTTATTTTAAGTGAGTATGTTATCTTCCAAAAGGTTTTAAAAACAAGATACAGGAAATTCCAGTATCTCTTGCCCCTGCTTAAAAATGATAACAAAGGAGACTCCAAACCAGCCCACTCAGTTTATAAAAAGTGAAGGAGTGCTTTTTGAACTTTTAATTGTATTTTCATACCTTTTACTTGATCCATCCATACAACATCAAAGTACACGGATGTTTTCTATGAGTTAGTATAAACTTCATATTTTAATTTATACTAAAAGGACAGTCTGAGTAATGAACTACCAGAACCTTTTCCGTAACTTCAAACATTTATGATTTAGGTCGAGCTCACTTCATGTAACTTCACCGTGGACATGATGTAAAATCAGCTCAACATTGCAGCCATAACACAATGAGGTTTAGTTCAGTTCACACTTATTTTTTATGCCAGAGGGGCCGATGGCGCGATATGGCAGCCTTGCTTCTG